TGAAAACCGTGATATAACATAAAATTTTACGCTAACCTGTGTGGCGTATTTTTTTCATTTTTTGTCCATTTGAAATGTTTGCTATTAATATTAACCGATGCTTATATTGCCCGTTACTGTACCAGGTATATATCTTACTATGATGTATAAGGTCGCTGGGTGGTTTGATAGCATAGTGTTCTCTTGTCAAACTGAAGACCGGGGTTCGAATCCACACATTCGTTTAACATATTCAGGTAGTACACACCAGCAGCGTAAAACTCTACTCATTCACTTAAGATGTGTATTCCATCTTATCTCAGGTGTACTCCAGCATATACTTACATTCAACAATACAAAGTCTTTGACAGTTCGTTATCCAATACAGTTCATTACCCCCAAAATGTGAAGCCTTTCTTTACATTGTACACTAATCAGTAATATTACTGAAACGGCTTAATCACTAATATAAGTAACCTAAACCCCTGATTTTGAAAAATCTCACAACCATTACCTGGAAATGGTTCGCCATACCTGCCACGAGACAGTCGCAGATCATCTGATGTAAATAGGAACAGGTGTCACACTTTATCAGTTGGTTGCACTCTGGCGAGTGAGCGAGTATAATTTTACGCCGCTTTTAGCAATATTCCAGCAATATCACGGCGGGGGACACCAGAAATGGGATTCACACATTGTACCCACGTCGGGAATCGAACCCGGGTCTTCGGCGTGACGAGCGAACGCTTCAACCACTAGGCTACCCGACCGCCCAGCACTCAATGGAAAAACAACTTTTTAAATCAGTCTGGGACTATTGTGTCTAGGGTCATCTTGTCTTTAGTTGTTGTGTCTTGGTTATGTTTGTTTGGGGCTATTGTGGCTGGAGTCATCTTGTCTTTGGTTGTTGTGTCTTGGTTACGTTTGTTTGGGGCTATTGTGGCTAGGGTCAGCTTGTCTTTGGTTGTTGTGTCTTTGGTAAGTTTGCATGGGTTTATTGTGTTTGGGGTCATCTTGTCTTTGGGCTGTTGTGTCTTGGTTTAGTTTGTTAGGGGCTATTGTGGCTGTTGTGTTTTGGTTAAACTCGTTTCAGGTTGTTGTGGCTAGGGCCATCTTGTCTTTGGTTGTTGTGTCTAGGTCAAGTTTGATTCGCGCTAGTGTGTTGTGGCTTGGGCATCTTGTCTTTGGTTGTTGTGTCTTGGTTAAGTTTGTTTGGAGCTATCGTGGCTTGGGTCATCTTGTTACTCATCAGATCTTGACTCATCAGATCTTTACTCATCAGTTTTTTACTCATCAGATCTTTTCTCATCAGATCTTCACTCATCAGATCTTTACTCATCAGATCTTCACTCATCAGGTCTTTACTCATCAGATCTTTACTCATCAGATCTTCACTCATCAGATCTTTACTCATCAGATTTTTACTCATCAGGTCTTTACTCATCAGATCTTTATTCATCAGATCTTTACTCATCAGACCTTTACTCATCAGATCTTTACTCATCAGATCTTTACTCAATAGATCTTTACTCAATAGAACCTCACTCATAAGATCTTTTCTCATAAGATATTTACTCATCAGATCTTCACTCATCAGGTCTTCACTCATCAGATCTTTACTCATCAGATCTTTACTCATCAGATCTTCACTCATCAGGTCTTCACTCATCAGATCTTCACTCATCAGATCTTTACTCATAAGATCTTTACTCATCAGATCTTCACTCATCAGGTCTTCACTCATCAGATCTTCACTCATCAGATCTTAACTCATCAGATCTTTACTCATCAGAACCTCACTCATCAGATCTTTACTCATCAGATTTTTACTCATCAGATCTTTACTCATCAGATCTTTACTCATCAGATCTTTACCCATCAGATCTTTACCCATCAGATATTTACCCATCAGATCTTTACTCATCAGATCTTTAATCATCAGGTCTTTACTCATCAGATCTTTACTCATCAGATCTTCACTCATCAGGTCTTTACTCATCAGATCTTCACTCATCAGATCTCTACTCATCAGATCTTTACTCATCAGATCTTCACTCATCAGGCTTTTACTCATCAGATCTTTACTCATCAGATCTTCACTCATCAGGTCTTCACTCATCAGATCTTCACTCATCAGGTCTTTACTCATCAGATCTTCACTCATCAGGTCTTCACTCATCAGATCTTCACTCATCAGATCTTTACTCATCAGATCCTTTACTCATCAGGTCTTCACTCATCAGATCTTCACTCATCAGATCTTTACTCATCAGATCTTCACTCATCAGATCTTCACTCATCAGATCTTCACTCATCGGATCTTTACTCATCAGATCTTTACTCATCAGATCTTTACTCATCAGATCTTCACTCATCAGGTCTTTAATCATCAGACCATGCTCCGAAACCTAAAATGTAATGTACATGTCATACCCAAACAAGGCCATTGAATTCACTGTCGCAGTGGTCCTCCTCGCGTGTCTCCTGGAACAATCTTTCTACAAGAACGACAACATTATAGTATCAGTGATATGCTGGGTTGGCAAAAGTTCTATTCACTATTGGGTATTGAACGACCACATATACCACATATATGTCATCGAGACCACAAAAAACAGTCGAGACTGAGTGAATGAGTACATGAGACAGGGTGTGTGTTTGTTTGTTTGTTTATAACGCCGCACTGAGCAAAATTACAGCTACTTGACGACGGACTGTAAATATTCGAGTCCGGACTAGACAATCCATCAACGCAATTGGGATACGATGACATGTATCAGCCAAGTCAGTGAGACTGACCCTCCGATCCCGTTAGTCGCCTTTTAAGACAAGCATAGTCGCCTATTATGGTAAGAATGCGTTGCTGAAGACCTATCCTACCCCGGATCTTCACGGGTCTGAGTCAAGGTGACCGTGGTGAGTACAGTAACACGATGAAATCTAAAACATCATGGTCGAGGCAGCTCGGGAGATCAGTTGTCTCAGGCAGTGGTGTTCAAGCAGAGTTGGGTCCCTGAAGCATGTTTTATTCCGATGATCGTGGAATTGTATCCCAGATTCGCCCTGATTATGACTCTTGGTTTGTCTACACTATACCCGTGCTCCTGGGTTTCTCGGTAAACGTCCGGGACTTTCCTTTTGTCAGGTGAGTGCCAGACAGGGTAACAACAAGTACCATCTTTAAACGTCTTTTGGTATGACGCGGCCTGGGATCGAACCCCGGACCTTCCGTTCAACGGACGGACGCTCTACCGGAGACGGTCTGTGGTGATATGAAAGGGAGTTAACGTTTCGTTACAAGTTATTGCACTTGCACATAAAAGTGTGCGCGGCTGCTTATAAGAGTCCGGGCTAAAGCCGGTTTTCTCATGCTGGACCATTGAGGAACCATGCCGCAGTTTAACATGGAAACCCCACAGAGGTAACATGCCTCCGAGCCGCACACTCCTTTCTTTAATACCTTAATGTCAAGCGCCAACGTCTTTTGGTATGACGCGGCCGGTGACGGAACCAACGACCTTCGGCTCTCTGGGCAGATGCCTTATCCATTGAACTTGAAGACGGTACTGCTATTGTTTTAGAATCTTCACAGCAAATGAACATATGCACATACCTTACAAATGACCACACGGCACACAAAATTAAATCGTTGTGATACAAAACTTTATTGCGCTATTTATATTATAAAAAAATACATTCAGGGATAAATCATATATACAAAACCTAGTACAGTCCTATTGGTTATTGAACTATTTATGTACAGGTAAATATCACAGAGTATACTGATAGACGTCTCTCTTTCTCACGAACATACAGGTATAACACATATTGGAAACTACCTAAGGCACATTCTTTCTACTAGAGCGTATAACATTGAGGTCAGTTGCCAGGAATATATCTTCTGAAGCGTTGCCTTACAGTAACAGTAACGTGATGTACTAAAACACTTTGAATGTACACTTTGCTACACAAGAGAGAAAACACATAAACTGCCGGTCACAATAAAATATCAACTCTAAAAATGGAATGGACCCAAAACTTTAAAACGGTATCAAACCTTACTGGGCTGACAGTCGCCAAAACACATATTCCCGAGGCAAGAGAGTTAACTGACTTTAAAAGTCCAGTTTCCACCTTGGCCGAACTAGGCTGAAATTCCTGGGCTCGAGCGTAGCGCCACCAGTGGCTATTACCAGTTATGTCCTTTCTATGCCTCTCCTACTGACCAATCAGATTCAACCCCTCGTATCACTTGCATTTGTTTCAAACAAAACGGTGGCGCAGTCAAGACGATCTGATCGATAATCAAGATCTATATTGTGATAAAACGAGTCTTACATCGCGAAGTGCATCAAATCACGGGAGCACCTTGATTAAAAACATGAATAGATTTAGAAAATATCTGTTGACAACGAGTTAGGGGTGAAAATGCTTTGCAAATGTTGAAGTCGAGCGAAATCTGCATGACACTTTACGAACCGGATTTCGATTTCGGTGCACGATTTTGATTAGACTATGCATAGACTCGTTAGTCCAGCCAACATGTAACTCTATAATACCAGCCTAGTTCGGCAAGGGTGGAAACTGGACTTTTATAGTCAGTTAACTCACTTGCCTCGGGAAGATGCCAAAACACTGCAAGCTTAATATCCCAACGCACACGTATGATACCGTTTCAACATCGAATAACTATTTCTGTTCTTTATTGTTTCATATTTGAACCATTACCCATGGGGTTTACTTTCTTTTGTCCGGCAGTGTATGTAGCACACAATGCTGACGACATGACATATCAGTGTCTCATTCAGAACACATGTTATGTTTATGACGATGGGATGGTTAGCATATTGTATGAGATTACATATATTTAAAATATGTGAAAATATTACTTGTTTTATTTAACCTGTGCTCGACTTTCGTTATTTGAAAATACATGTGTTGTAGAAGAAGCAAATAGTGGGTAATAACACTAATGATATACACTTGCCTCTGTAATGTTTAACAGTTGACACTCGCGATGACGTTTACAGTGTGAAATACGGTACCAGTGATATGTCATATGTGCATAAAAACGACAAAATAAAATACCTTAATCACAGGAAATGTCCGTTGTACGATTCCTACCATATCATTATAATTTCTGAAGAATCAGAATCAAATACCACATCATTCCATTCTTCAGTCTTAAATAGAGCCGTTGATGCGTTTCCAACACAGTTTAACGCAATGTCATTTTCTTAAAATAGAAACTACAGTAAACAACGGTTATAACGAACACGCTTATAACGAACTGACGGATATAACGAACTACTTTTTGGGTCCCGATAATTAGCTGTATTATGCTGTATATATGCTTATAACGAACTACGGTTATAACGAACTAAACTTAGTAGTCCCTTTGAGTTCGTTATAACCGTACTTTACTGTATATGATCGTCATCTGTTCCATCTCGGGTCCACCCGAATCTCTTTATCTCGCACAATCGTATGTTAGAATACAACCTTCTACTGCACTGGACTGTTAAATACCATGGTAGTCATACAACCATGCTTAGGTAATCAAAAAGTATATAATTATGTACAATCTTAAGGTTGCTTAAGAAGTTAGAAGTATAGAAAGTCTACGTTTGTTGCGATATAAAAAGCGAAAAGCTAGGTACGAAAAATGCTGCATTTCCATTTTGAACAAACTATAACAACATATCAATCAAGAGCTGTAACGAATTAATCTTAAAAAAGTAGTATATGGTGCAAAAGTACATCCCCCGAATGATGAACGCGCTATACCCAAATATATATGAATCCGAGCATTTCACAAACGAAAGGACAACATAATTTATTCTCATGGGGTTGGGACAATCCTGTGAAGAATTATATTTTCCGAGTTCGCGACTTTATTACAAAAACACAGGATGAAATGGAAAGCGACATACACATATATTTACATAACACAAATACATCCCGTACAAGACAATAGTATTAAAATAGTTTGATTGGAGTTTCCCACCTGATGTCGTCACAGTGACGGGCACTAGCAGGTAATGCACATGGTGATGACACGTACGGATTGACAGTCATGGTAAACTACCCGCGTAATAAGAACCAAGTAGCACAAAGACGTCCTTGAGGCTTAATCATTATGAAACCTTTATATATCGCACTTATCCAGATACTAGTATCTGCTCAAATGCGGTTTATCTGTTCCCCTAGCAGTAGGTCGGCATGCATCCCAGCTGTCATTCTCAACTCCCTTGGGTATACAACCCAACCCGCCTTATTAAATGGATCATCTGCATGCTATTCTCTCTGGACATTACTAAAAATGGAAATATGCATTGTAGATCCTGATCAACGGGGTTTTGTTAATGATTACATATTGCTGATATGGCACTTGCATTGCTGACATCTGACGGAGGTATACCCACATGGCTTTGGTGCTTCTCATTGTTTCATAAAACAGATTTCGTTTACGTATTAGTAAGGCTTGTATATTGTGTAAATGCTACACCAGCAAGTATCACATGACGGACGAAGAACAATTCTTCTTCAATACAAAACTTTTTTTTCTCAAACAATCCTTGGAATTGGAATTCTGTAGACAATTTGCATTTGGAAACTGCATCTTACGAAGACAGTTGCTTGAAGCGGCTGTAAAATCTAGAACCCCGAAGACGGAGACCTGGAACAAGAGATTCACAAATGAAAACATCACTTCATCCTTGACAGATTCAGGCTATGTATCGCTGTGGAGGTAAGATGGGATGCGGAGATGGGGAGACAGAGTGTGGCAGTATCAGCGAAGGGCAAAGAGGCACACTCCGTTCCATCCTTGTAGCCGTACAACAAGCATGGGCTACTGAGGACCTATTCTAATCTGGAATCACAACGTTTGTGTTGTAATTATTTTATTGCAAGATCATTGAAGTATAACTGCCATGTAACTTGCTTCACACACATGTACTCTTTATCTCGCAAACGCTCCCACGTGCATCTCGCAAACCAAATACTGCCTGAATTTACATCTCGCTACCCGACTACAGCCTGAATGTGCATCTCGCTACCCAACTACAGCCTGAATGTGCATCTCGCTACCCAACTTCAGCCTGAATGTGCATCTCGCTACCCGACTACAGCCTCAATGTGCATCTCGCTACCCGACCACAGCCTGAATGTGCATCTCGCTACCCAACCACAGCCTGAATGTGCATCTCGCTACCCAACTACAGCCTGAATGTAATCTCGCTACCAAACTACAGCCTGTATGTGCATCTAGCTACCCAACCACAGCCTGAATGTGCATGTCGCTACCCAACCACAGCCTGAATAAGATCTCGCTACCCAACTACAGCCTGAATGTGCATCTCGCTACCCAACTACAGCCTGAATGTGATCTCGCTACCCAACTACAGCCTGAATGTGCATCTCGCTACCCAACCACAGCCTGAATGTGCATCTCGCTACCCAACCACAGCCTGAATGTGCATCTCGCTACCCAACCACAGCCTGAATGTGATCTCGCTACCCAACTACAGCCTGTATGTGCATCTAGCTACCCGACCACAGCCTGAATGCGCATCTCGCTACCCAACCACAGCCTGAATGTGTATCTCTCTACCCGACCACAGCCTGACTGTGTATCTCTCTACCCAACCACAGCCTGAATGTGTATCTCTCTACCTGACCACAGCCTGAATGTGTATCTCTCTACCTGACCACAGCCTGAATGCGTATCTCTCTACCCGACCACAGCCTGACTGTGTATCTCTCTACCTGACCACAGCCTGAATGTGCATCTCGCTACCCAACCACAGCCTGAATGTGTATCTCTCTACCCGACCACAGCCTGACTGTGTATCTCTCTACCCGACCACAGCCTGAATGTGTATCTCTCTACCCGACCACAGCCTGAATGTGCATCTCTCTACCTGACCACAGCCTGAATGTGCATCTCTCTACCCGACCACAGCCTGAATGTGTATCTCTCTACCCGACCACAGCCTGAATGTGCATCTCTCTACCTGACCACAGCCTGACTGTGTATCTCTCTACCCGACCACAGCCTGAATGTGGACCTCTCTACCCGACCACAGCCTGAATGTGTATCTCTCTACCCGACCACAGCCTGAATGTCCAATCACAGTGAAAGAGGACACTACCCGACTACAATCACAGTGGAAGAGGACACTACCCGACTACAGCCTGAATGTACAATCACAGTGAAAGAGGACACTACCCGACTACAATCACAGTGAAAGAGGACACTACCCGACTACAATCACAGTGGAAGAGGACACTACCCGACTACAATCACAGTGAAAGAGGACACTACCCGACTACAATCACAGTGAAAGAGGACACTACCCGACTACAATCACAGTGAAAGAGGACACTACCCGACTACAATCACAGTGAAAGAGGACACTACCCGACTACAATCACAGTGAAAGAGGACACTACCCGACTACAATCACAGTGAAAGAGGACACTACCCGACTACAATCACAGTGAAAGAGGACACTACCCGACTACAATCACAGTGAAAGAGGACACTACCCGACTACAATCACAGTGGAAGAGGACACTACCCGACTACAATCACAGTGAAAGAGGACACTACCCGACTACAATCACAGTGAAAGAGGACACTACCCGACTACAATCACAGTGAAAGAGGTCACTACCCGACTACAATCACAGTGAAAGAGGACACTACCCGACTACAGTCACAGTGAAAGAGGTCACTACCCGACTACAATCACAGTGAAAGAGGACACTACCTTGTATCCCAAAGGAATGGATCCCGGCCTTGGGAGTATGCGTTCCTGGAAATTGAAAGAGATATCAGAATATTATACTCAGAATGTAGATATATATGATCGTAAAGGGCAAATATACTAAAACAATTACATAGAAGCGGTTTTGGTTTGTTTGTTGTTTTACGCCGCACTCAGCAATAGTCCCCCTATATGACGGCGGTCTGTAAATAATCGAGTCGGGACCAGACAATCCAGTGATTGATATCATGAGCATTGAGCCACGCAACTGGGATTGATGACATGCATCAACGAAGTCAGCGAGCCTGACCACACGATCCCGTTAGTCGCCTCTTACGACAAGCATAGTGGGTTAGTGAAAAACGTGTATCGGCCATCATAGCCCCTATGAGTAACCTGAAAGAAGACTCGCGTGTGAATGTAGAAATTGGTAACTTCTACCAATACAGTAAGCAGGCATCCTCCTAAACACCCTCGCGGATGCACATTGCTGTGATGGCGAGATCGACCGGTCAAACATAGACCATGCTGACAATGGCTACGAGGTGTATTTTCAGCGGAACTACCGATCACGTTCAGAGTGTAAAAAGGGTGTGACAACAGGTGTTGATGAAGCAAGATATTACGAATGGATGCTGGGCCCAGATGCTTGCTGCCAATTCCACTCGAGGTTCAAACGGTGCAATTAATTACTTAAAAAGGTAATTTGCGTGTGTAGGCGAGTATAATTTGATGCCAACAATATCCTAATATACCACAAGAAAATCTTCCTGACTCTCACCTGTTGAAATCCGAAAACGACTTCCTATCATATCTGTCAGTCCACTCCCCTCGGAACCTGGCGATGTAAGCAGAGTGATGCACATTCTTAATGTTACAAATGTTACATTTGGGATAACACTTTCTTAGTAAAGTACAGATTCTAGTCCAATCCGGGATTCGAACCCACACTGTCAGAGTGGACACCTAATCGCCACCACACAAAGTCAGCGATCTAACCCACTCAGCCGACGAGGCTTCCACAATAATGAAAGTCCGACAACTGGTAGTCTAGATCACGTACTTTGTGTACCCCTCTGACACTTGTAAATTCACACGGCTCCCATGGCCGAAAGCTATGAACACACAATGCCATTATATATCACAACATAGCCCCACTGCACCGTACTCACCCTTCGTTATCGTAGCCAGATCGAACTGGTTGGCGAAGGCCCGACTGGTTCCGTTCGGCCATATAGTCCTCGTAGGTATCCGAACTTGCCCGAGCGATGCGGGGCCCGGCGTAGCTGGTGTAGGGCTTGGGTCGGAAGTCCGCAGTCCGGGTCTGCAGTTCGTAGGCGTTAGGGTGGTTGGTTCTGGGGAATGACTCTGGTATGTTGGAGCGAGGGAGGGAGGCGTTGTAGTGGCGATGGGAGGACCTGGCTCCACGGTCTATGGAACCTTCTCGGATGCCCCGTGAACCGCTTGGGAACGGTGAGTACATACTGCAAGAATAGTGATGGTATATGTTTACAGGGCCAACATACGTTATGAAGGTTGGCTAGGATATTTTTGTTTCTCTTGTTGCTGTTACTGTTGTTTTTACACCGCGCACCAATTCATTAATGGTTCCCCTTTTTGGACTCAGCCCTAGTGTAAATGCCATTGAGCTAAGCGAGACAGGATGTATAATATATAAATTATACAATAGCCCGGCTTTATCTTTTTGCATTTGGAAATCCCCGATTATATTCATTTTCGAAATACAGAAATTAGATATGCTTGTCTGCATGCTTTGCTCACTGGTACTGAGACGTGTCCTCTAATCTTCAACCCGAGAGGTATCGTATCGGAGTACAAGGGCTCATTGTAATGAGATTGACCAACATTCTAGAGCTGTTCGATCTGTGTCTATATACCTGTATGGTCTGTAGTTGTCCATCTCTCCTGTAGTCAAACTGTACTCGGAGGCCGGCCTGTAGGAAGCAACAAGAAGTATAGAGGTCGTTTGATTCAACTTTCATTACATTGTTTAAAAGGCGACTAAAAGGCGACTAACGGGATTGGGTGGTCAGACTTGGTTGATGCATGTCATCGTATCCCATTTGCGTGGATAAATGCTCATGATGTCAATCACTGGATTGTCTGTTCCAGACTCGATTATGTACAGACCGCCGTCATATAGCTGGAATATTGCTGGGCGCGGCGTAAAACAAAAAACAGACAAAGAAATATTTTACCAGCAGGCACATGCTTATGACAGTCATATTTCTTGTGACTATGGACAGAAGTGATGACGTTCCTATTCACCTTTTGTGCACATGCTTGTCCCTGCGTCTCTTGTACCAGCAGGCGCACAGCATGACGATGACCATGATGATGACGAGGATGCAGATGGCGGCGACCACGCCGATGACGATAAGCTCCTGCTGAGTCAGTGTGGATGTGTTGCTGGCCGTGGTCGAGGTCACTGGAGCAGGCAACAAATATATATGTCAGTTCACATGTGTGTCAGTGTGACAGATTGCCATGTGTATGTAAGTATAGAAACATCAATGTGATCGAGCTTGCGATCATTGAAAGGTGATTGTAAAGATGTGTCAAATAGATACTAAGGTAAATCTATAGATTGGTTTAGACTGAAACTGTCAGTCTAGACAAGAATCGAGTCGATGTGAAGGTAGAGATGAGTATTTCACGTTTTGTTCACTAGGATGGGACGTAGCGAGGATATTCGTGAAGGATTATGCAGTCAAATTCATTGACGTTTCCCAGTATATATAAAACGCTGCCTTCAAGATTGAAGGGTCCAAATGATCAGAAGAACGTTTTTGTATGTATTCGCGCAAGGGAATTCCCAGGAGTTTCCCAGGAATGTGGAAATTGTCCGTCAATGTTTACGTCATTTCAAGAATACAGTCTCGTGAAAAACATATGAACGTCAAATTGTGTCGTTCATACGCTTATGGACGTCAGTTTCGCGGTCATGTGACCGACCCCTCGTCCAATGGAAAGCCGTGTATCGTGTAATGTCAAATTAAAAACAATAGTGTACTGTTAGGGACGAATAGGTGTTTCGTTACTTACATTGACACTTGGGGATGGCATTGTTCCACGTGCCGTCGGCCTGACAGGTGAGTTCCGAGGCTCCGACCAAGCTCCTACCATCATGGCAGGTAATTGTAACCTTCGTATTCACAGTCCGGTCGGTGGTCGATAACCTCACCTCGTTGATGTTGTCTATAGTTACGATGGTCGAGGGGACAGTCGACTCCGAAATCTTTGGACAAGCTGAAATGAACATAAAATATAATTACAAAATGACAAATAAGTGGTTAAAATTATGGACATAAATCATAAAACATGTGCCTTTTGGCTTTCATTTGCAAAACACTGCCCAACCAAGTAGGACATTCATCACGAACATCACATCAGAGGGGTCAATCAAGTGGTCAAGTAACGTGTCTATAAACCAGGCAGCTCTCTGGGGTATTATAATAAAAATGAACCTCCTGTAGATATAAGCGGTCTGATGTTGTATAATACCATCAGATACTGCAATCGTGTAGCAACAAGAGCTTGGTGGTAGTGAGTTTGGTTTACCGCCACATTGACATGATGTGTTTGTTTGTTTCGTTGTTTACCGTCGCACTCAACACTTGTCCAGCTATACGACAGGGCGTGTGAATAATCTAAGCTTGACCGGAAATCCAGTGACTGATACCAGAGCATCGATCTACACTAATGGGATGATCCAAGACTCCCAATCTGACCACTGGTTTCCAATGAGACGCCTGTTACGACAAGCCCAGAATGTTGGGACCTTTAATCTTCTTCGGAATCGCCACGGTTTGATATATTTGGGACTTAACAACAGAAAATGAAAAGGGCACTGGGATATTTAGTGCTTGAAGCTGGACCATTGACAGAAAATCGACAGATCATCCACACAGCTACTGTCAAAATACCCATAACTGGAGAACAAGCACAGACATGGTTCAACAGCGTAAAATACGAAACAGCAGCAAGAAAAACGTATGTTTATCCACACATACCACGCTTGATAACTAAACAGAGCGATGCCTCGTATTACAAACATAGTCTGGTAATAATATACACGTGGCCACTTTGTAATAGTTGCTCTCTTAACGACGTCAAGCTTTCACAAATCTATTGACCGACGACAACGACATTTGTGTCAGTTCCAGAGGCGACCAGAGCTCTCAACACCGACCATGTAAACCCTGATTATGAAACCACGGCCATGTCATTCACAACAACCAGAATGTAAATACAGGTCATGTCAGTAAATTTCGTTAACTCTTTGTCTACGGAAGATGATACCATAGGTCGAGGGGATGATGTCAGAAAAATGACTGCACTGGTAAGTAACTGGCACAGTTAAGGTGTTTGGAATTATATTATAATGCAACAATGTGTATGAACTCGCGTTTACATGATTGTGTGTGTGTGTGTGTGTGTGTGTGTGTGTGTGTGTGTGTGTGTGTGTGTGTGTGTGTGTGTGTGTGTGTGTGTGCCTATTTGTGGTCGTGACACATTCATAAGCACTACTGCTGCTACCTCTACCACTACTACTACTGCTGCTACCTCTACCACTGCTACTACTGCTGCTACCTCTACCACTACTACTACTGCTGCTACCTCTACCACTACTACTGCTACCTCTACCACTGCTACTACTGCTACTACTTCTACCACTGCTGCTACTGTTACTGTTACTACTATTGATGCTACTGCTACTACTACTACGGCTACTACTTCTACAACTGCTGCTGCTGTCACTGTTACTACTATAGATGCTACTGCTACTGTTATTACTTCTACTAAGTCTTCTACTAAGACTGCCACTACTACTACTACTAATGCTACTACTGTTTCTGCTACTACAACTATTACTGCTACTACTGCTACCACTACTACTACTGATGGTGCTACGACTAATACTGCATTACGTGCATCGTGTTGTATCGTATACGTTACGCTGCATGATGATGCAGGTATTAACGCGCCTACTACTACAGCTGTTGCTACTACAGCTGCTGCTACTACTACAGCTGCTACTACTACTACTACTGCTACTACCTAATTACGTGTATTGTATCGTACATTTTGTTGCATTGTAAATGCAGGTAGAGGCGCGTCTCTAAATACGTTTCGCCGCCTATATGTCAGCTGCTGTGAAGCCCAGGGAATTGGATGTTCATGAAATATGGCTGAGTCACAAGAGAACAAGATCGATTGCTCTTTCAGTGCATCCAGTGAAAACAGAGAAGGGCAATGCCTATGCTGTTATTCCTGTAGGGACCTTTCCTACTGAATATGACATTCTTCTACTCCTACGCTGTTTGCGTTGTATACAGACACCTGCCTTTCCTTATAATTAAATCAAAACCCGAGCAAGGGAATCTATGGATTAGTTTGTTTGTTTGTTCTTGTTTTGTTGGTTTCAGGTCATAGTCACCAATATGGAAACTATGCCAGGTCATCATTTAAGCAATCAAGTCTGGACCTGGCAAACCAGTGGTCGAATCTTTAAGTAATGACGCCTTGGGTGTAGGTTGTCACGCAACCCACAGAGCCACTGTACATAGCCTCATCGTTCAATTTAATCGCCTCCAAAGACAAGCAATACAGTGCGTGTGCTAGCCTATTTTTGTTTTAGAAAAGACATATTTTAACTGGGTTAAACTCCAGTAGTTTTAGTCCTTTTCATGGCAATACTATTTTAGGTAATCCAGTATTCACTTATTCAGATCTGTAATCGATAATACATGTGCTTGTACCGTTGAAACATTACCGCGCCGAGATACCTTCATACCATGTAAACACTGTCATGTTCTGTGTAACGGTGAACGTATGCAGTGCGTGATACCGCCCTGGGCCCACTTGCACAAAGCCATCTTAGCACTAAGACTATTGTAAGCCTATGTTAAAGTATGGGAGTTACGATCGTCTTAGCACTAAGATCGCTTTGTGCAAGTGGGCCCTGGACTGCATTTGGCTTCTGAATCAATGACACCAAACAGATGATGTTAGTACACTATTCTATGTTCTGAGGGTTTGCGAGGCTAAAACAGTCATCACTTTTGTGTTCTCTAAAACAAACTTCAAGGCATCTGCAGATATTACAGTGACTTGAAAGGTGATACTATCGCTCCATTATGACATCAACACGCGATTGTTAATATATCTCTAATGTGTCCATAGACGGCATTGTGTGTAACGTTTATGCTTATATTTGAAGAAATCTACTGACCCTCAGTGGCCAGGTAATATTGACAATGGCCTGATCATAAATGACAATTATCATCTAAGAAGACAGGCAGAAACTAGCTTGCACTATATCAAAGCAGTCGATAATTGAGCACGGTCAAAAGTCATTACCACTTAAGGATGTCTGTGTGATGCTATCAACTGATACAATCAGGTGACGGTGCTCGTGGTACACTTAGGAACACCCAAATGTCCAGAGGTTGCTTCAGGCAATATCCATCAGTTAATTCTGTCTCAAAATGTCGGAAGGGTAAATTGTGATAAATTACCGGATCTCCTTGATCTAAAAATATCTTCGTGGCCTCAAATAAGTTACCTTTGCCTGGCCAAGTTTATTGCAACGAGGGGACTAATTCCTTAATCCACATAACAGTATTAACGTTTGAACAAGTTCAACTTTATGTGTTTTTGTATTGCTGTCGGCACAATAAACTACAGTTATAACGAACTCAAAGGGACCACAAATTCTAGTTCGTTATACAGTAAACCACGGTTATAACGAACTCGAGAGGACCGCTAATTTTATTTCGTAATAACCGTAGTTCGTTATAAGCATATACACGACATTTATACAACAAATGGTCGGGACTGAAAAATAAGTTCGTTATATCAGTCAGTTCGTTATATGCGTGTTCGTTATAACCGTAGTTTACTGTAACCGTAATTCGTTATAAGCATATATACAGCATATGGCAGGGACCTAAAAAACAGTTCGTTATATCCGCCAGTTCGTTATAAGTGTGTTCGTTATAACCGTAGTTTACTTCCCGCCGTGATATTGCTGGAATATTGCTGAAAGCAGTGTAAAACCATACTCAATCCATCAACCGTAGTTTACTGTACTATAACATAACGTAAAAGTATTAATGCCGGACGACTGTACAATAACCGTTATGACATTGATGATGTGTCAAGGCCAGCTGTATGGTGAACTTGACCTTCTGAAGGACACGATACATCCCCTCTGTCCTCAACCCGGGATCCCCATGGGGTCCCCATCAAAGAGTGTCCTCATATGTTTATCATGTGTGTTATTGCAATGACAAAGCAGGGGGCGTAAGGCTAGACACAGTGCGCTACTGTGGTGAATATTTATGTCAGCTAGTTTTGACAGAAACATCATTGTCTTTTAAAGAAAATATATGGAAATTGCCGTTACTGGCTATGAACTTCATTCCTTACATATTTCAGATCCACATTACTCTTTTCACAGGAACCGCCGTCATATAGCTGGAATATTGCTGAGTGCGGTGTTAACAACATACCAACCAACCAACTTTTCACAAGAAGCATGGAAATATGAATATCAGTAGTAGTCTTGATTTTTAATGTGTTACAGAACCTAAATTTCAGAGCTAACAAAGAGTTCAATAAACATTAAAAGTCAACGCCAGAAATAACCAGTTTTGATTATCCGCTGAAACAGATTCCATTGGTCGTAAAAGGAAAAATAGCCGTGATATTATTTGAATGGATCCCAGAAAATCAGTGATGTCACCAGGTGTTCGGGAACAGAGATTCACGTCCGAAGTAAATGATACACATTTTGTATGAATCACTATCAACAAGTGATGAGATAGGTGTGGGAATGTGAGATGAGGGAAAAGTGGAAGCAAGTCCTGTCCTACCGGTAGCACCCCTCACTTACACCATGTACATAACAAACTTAATGTTTCTTGCCGTAAGAAAGTACACTATTCTTCAAAATAGACTCAGGGGGCACGGGTGGCCCAGTCGTCCAAGGTGCCGCGATTCGCTGTGCAGAGTTACGTCCCTTGGGCACGCCAGAAACCTATGATTGTGGGTTCGAATCCCGGTTCGCCCCGATCATGTTTCTAGGTTTGTCAGCACCATGCCGTGCTCGTCGGTTTCACCGAAGCGGTAAACGTCTGAGATCTGCATCACTCCGGGCTTTCCACCCACATTAAGCTGACACGCCGCGATATAACTTGAATACTGTTAAAAGCGGCTTTAAACCCAACTCACTCGCTCAAAAT